CATTAATTGGAGTCAGGGACAGGATCAGAATAAAATGCCACTTTTTAAGTCTCAAAGGAATATATCGATTCCCTCAAAAATTCCCAGATGGAAGGACCTTCCCGATAGTTCCCTAGCCATCAAGTGGGTTAAGGTCAGAGGACCATGCGAACAGTGGGAGAGGTGGTTGAAGGATGTCAGACCACAGGACGTATTACGATGTACTCAAAAAGTGCCTATTGAAAAAGGAAAAGTACTTGTAGGCTTCGGAATACAGGGATGGATTTTGTTACCTGTATACTGAAAACAGCACCTACAGAAAGAAGAAAGGTTGTCCAAATGCTCCTATATGGAGGGACAAATATGGGATTTGCAAAACCAGACTGAAATGCTAAAGTGCCAGAAGAGGCTGGTCGCTGAGAAGCTGGACACTTGGCAGACTGTACTCTGGTAGAGAGAGCTGCAGCATGGCTTGCACAATACAAGTATAAGAAAAGGAGGGACAAGTGGATCACAAGACAGTGCACGGAGTGACTGCAGCAGTCGGTGTGCAATGGGATCCTGACAAGTGGGATGGGGATATCTGGGAATCTATGCATTCTGATGAGGCTGCTTCCCCAGAGGAATCTGTAGGTGTGAGAAGGACATGACAATGAAAAATAGAATTAGGAGGTGGGCAGCAAGTGGGCAGGGACGTGGTGGAAGATTATACTCAGCGTGACTTTGCAAGACTGTACACGACAAATGAAGGAGGAAGGGGAGAACATTTAGGAGTGATGGCGTTTGTCTTCCCATGTAACCGTTAGGTGTGATGGGCCCTGCCCTCCTGGAGGTGCTGAACACCTCCTGCCCATGGGAAGGAGTGGATTAATTTATTGCTTTGCTTTGCTTGTGTCAGGGTTTGGTAGGATGCTAAGCTGTCTTTATCTCAACCCAGGATTTTTCTAGCTTTTACCCTTCGAGTCCCCCGTCCCGCTGGAGGAGCAGTGTGTGAGTGGCTGCGTGGTGCTTGGCTGCTGGCTGGGGTCCAGCCATGGCAATCCTTTGTGAAGCCCAGCGTAAGGCACAAAGGGTTCCAGATAATGACAGATTTGACTGAGATGTACTGGATTGAATTTGTAACTGTTAATGCTGTTGAGCTAGGAACGAGCAACCCCTTGGGCTTGCCATGGAACTCGCTTTTCTCTTTCCTGACCGTCTATTAGACTCTAGTGCATGTAAGGGGCAACTTTTGCTTTTGGTGCTTGCTGTACTGCTTATCACTTACTGTATTGTGCCTGGCAACACTCTGATAACAGCCATGGGGATGAGCCTGGGCTGGGGAATGGCCAGAGCATTGCTGCTGTACTGGGCAGGCTGGAACTCCAGCGTGAAGTTGAGTTGAAGGGACTGGGACCTGTTGATGAGTCCACGGTGGGACAGAGATCCACCTGCAATGTATAGAGGATCCCGTGCCGGAGCAGTTGGACGCCTGAAGGAGACTGTGACTCATGAGAAGCCCATGCTGGAGTAGGTTTCCTGGCAGAACTCGTGACCTCATGGGGGTCCATGTTATTGAAGAACTGCAGCCCATGAGAAGGACACATAGAAGGAGTTCAAGGAGGACTGTCCCCTGTGGGTGGGACTCCACGCTGCAGCAGGGGAAGCAAAGATTTCCTTGCCACCTGTAGTGAGGACCATGGTGAAGCAGGCTGTGCCCCTGCAGCCCATGGAGGACTGTGATGTGGACTATAGTAATGGTGGACTCTAGAAGGAACCCCTCACTGCTAGCCAGCCTGGGAACAAGGGAGGAGTTCATTGCAATGTGACACCCAGATGTCCTGTCCCAAAAGAACCAGGGGTGGAGATTGTAATGGAAGTGCGTTGAAATTGTTTAAGCCATGACTTGTGTTGTATGTTAGAGGACTTACTACAGCACCTGAACCAATGAAGGAGGAGCCTTAGGAGAAGCAGTTGCAGTGCAGCAGTGATCTGAACTGAGGAGGATTTGGTGCCCAGTAACTCCAAGCAACACACCACCTCTCCTGTCCTGAGTGATCAGCAGAACAGATGGAGCCTGAAGTCATGGACTAGATGAATTGTTGACATCTTGTGGCCAATTTATGGACATTTTGCAGGGGTGGTCTGTAGACCAAGGGAACAATAGCTGTGTATTACATCAAAGAATGGGAAGAAGGGTGATGGTTAATGAAGTTGTATTGAATATTGCGGGACCTGAGCATGATGTAAATGGTATGGAATAAGGGGTGGAATGTACTGGTTTGAGCTGAAGTAGAGTTAACTTTCTTCACAGTGGCTAGTATGGGGCTAGGTGTAGGATCTGTGCGGAACACAGGGTTGGTAATATAGAGATGTTTTTGTTGTTGCTGAGCAGAGCTTACACAGAGCCAAGGCCTTTACTGCTTTCCATACTGCCACACAGGCAAGGAAGTTGGGGCTGCATGGGAGATTGGGAGGAGACACAGTTGAGACAGGTGACCCAAACTGACCAAAGGGATATTCCAACCATATGACATCATACTCAGTATATAAGGCAGGAGGAAGAAGGAGGAAGGGAGAACATCTGGAGTCATGGTG